TTTAAAATATGTCTTGGTAATCTGGCCTACATCTTATGCTCTAGTGATAAACCATGAAATGAATATGCCCCAGGTAGCTTCTGTCCCTTCATGCTAGACCTCAGAATGAACACATTTAGGGTAAATCTAACTAAACCTATAGCCTGAGGGCAAGCTTGGCCAACCCACAACTGAAGCAGATGGGTCCCAAACTAGATCAAGAAAACCTCAGGTGACCTACAGACAAGTGTGAAAAATAAATACTCATTGTTGTAAGCCACTCAGCAAAAGTGGTTTGTTATGGTAATAGGTTAAAAATATGTCTACCAATCTCCTAACTAGGAATTTATCCGAAGGCAATCAGAGAAAAACAAAGATTTAGAGAAGGGTATTCAACATAGTAATATTTATAACTGTAAAAACTTGAAGAAAAAAAAGCTACCATCACATAACAGAGGAATCATTTTAAAAATTAAGATACAGCCAGACAAATATTTGAAGATGTTTAAAAAAAATCATGTTCAGAAGAGCACTCAAAAATGTAAGTAAATGTTCATAATATATTACATATGCAAGATGTATTTTTTAAGAAAGAATATACTGACAGGTTTTGTTTGTTTGTTTCTAGTGCTGGTGGTGGTACTGAGGTTTGAAATAAGGAAGTCACTACTTGCTAGGCAGATGCCTTAACACTTCCACACACTCCAGCCTAAGAGTTATCTCTAAGCAGAGAAAAAGATCAGTTAGATAAAATCATTTAAGACATTCTTCCTGCTAGACATTTCCTTGTTAAGTATTATACTAAATATTATACTAGGAATGAAGAAGAAAATAAACATGTTCACCGCTTCTTAAGACTAGCAATCTAATAAGGAATATGTATTTTAAAATGGTAATATATGGATATATAATTACAACTTGTGATATGCTGCTATAGCAGAAACTACTAATTATTAATGACATTCTGTCCCATTGGTGGCCGGTCACCAATAATAAACTACATTTCCCAGCCTTCCTTTCTCCTAGCTGAGGTCATATAACTAAGTTCAAATCAAGGGAGTTTTAACTGGAAGTGGTACATACAACTTCCAGTAAACATCCTTAAAAATGAAGGGTTTAGACTTTGTTGCTTTTTCTTCTTCTTACCAGATGGAGTGGCTATTTTAGACTCTGATCTGAAAGTGTCACGCTGAGAATGGCAGAGCAGCAGAACAGGAGGTGCCTAGGTTCACTGATACTGTGGAACCACTCTCACCTGCCTGAGTCTATATCCGGGGCTTCAAGAAGAGAAAGAGTAAAATTTCACTGTCTTTACTTGGAGCTTTTCAGTCTATATCCGGGGCTTCAAGAAGAGAAAGAGTAAAATTTCACTGTCTTTACTTGGAGCTTTTCAGATATTCACAGATGAACCTAATCATAAATGGTGTCACTATGGTGGAAAATGAAACGATACCTTCACTGGAGACAGGGGCTTCAGGGAGACTTCCTCAGAGGAAGTAACAAATTTGAGCAGTAAATAAAGACTGCCCAGTGAAGCTGAGGAGGATGAAGATCTGTTTAGGTGGGGAAAACTAAAGATGCAACCTATGACTTAGGCCTGGATCCCTAAGGGACAAGGAACAAACCTTGAGATGTCCCGTTGCCTTGTGGGCCAGTTGAGTTACACAGAGCACTTGCCTAGCAGGCTCAAGGCCCTAGCCCATCACTAGTACATGTGCTGGGGGAGGGATGGAGACTGCCTCTACCAGAATTCAGAATCAAAACAGCACTAAAGCAACTAAGTATTGTTGGCTCCAATATCAGAATGTCTCTATTCTGACAAGAAAAGCACACATGCACATATGTCTGTCAAATATAAGGAATGGCAAGGGCAGAATGATAATGATTTCTGTAAAGGAAATTAATAGTTGCTTCTGCCCTTTAGTGTTACTACTGTTTAAACTGTTGAATTTCTTGATTAGAATAGTTCATATATCCTGAAGAGAACGTCATGTTAACTATCCCTGGCACAGACAAGAGGTAGGTGTTAAATTCTTTTTAATATTATTTATTATTTTAAGAACAAAAAATGTAAAACAAAGAAAAAAATCACAGAAAAAATAAACTACGTATAAAATCACAACCATCTAACCTTTTATAGACAGTTTTTATACACATTTTTATATCCACATGGAAACATATATACATAGATCAAATACCAAAATGGAATTATAATATAATAACTTGTATATGCCTTTCCACTACTGTATCAGGAGAATATGTCCATGTCACTTAACAGTGGTTTTAATACATGATTAGTTTATTCCATCAAATCTCAGGATTTTATGAGTTAAACTGTCAATCACAAACCAAAGCCCTGTAAGTCAAGAAGCTGCCCTCAGAATCTGCCCCAGAGTTTCTATTCGTAAATCTAAAGTTATGATTTGAAAGCATGTGAGTCTCCTGATAAAGAAATGAACAACATTCACTAAGTTTTAGCCAAAAAGGATGCTTACTAAGGACATCTTCCCCAACAAAGAATATTATTACATAATTAGTCTTCTTCCCCTTCCCTCCCCCACCATATTGCTGAGGATTGAACCCAGGGCCTCAAGCATGATAGGCTAACACTCAACCACTGAATTATGTCCACAGCCTTGTTACTTAGTTTTAAGGAAGAGACTGAATACCAGACTGGGACAGAAATAATGACTAAGAACTAAAAGTGTCTATTGTAACAACTACTGACTATCTGTAATTTTTTTGGTCAGTTGTAGGGCTTGAACTCAAGGCCTCGGTGCTATCCCTGAGAGTTTTCACTCAAAGCTAGCACCCTACCACTTTGAGACACAGCCCCACTTCCTGTAACTTTTTTTTAATAAACCAAAATAAGAAAATATTTATATCAATTATTATTCACTTAAGTTTTCAAATGGATATATAAAATGTACGGTACCCAGAAAAAGAATGGAAGCAAATATGACAAAGAGTTAATAGTTTTAAATTCTGAAATAGCATTCTTCTTCTTCATTCTTGTCTATAATTAAAACTTTTCTCAATATACAAACTTAAAGTTAAATTAAAATATTAGTCATGTGAGTACAATGGTTCAGATTTTGGTATTAAAGTTATAAAATAAACCAAAATTTTACATTACTTTACACACAAAACATTTCAAACAAACTAGTTTTCTTTAACTGCCCCAATGCCCCAAGTATAGCCTTTGGTTGTTTTAACTTTTTTTTTGGGGGGGGTGGTCAGCTGTGGGGCTTGAACTCTGGGCTTAAACTCTGGACTTGGGTGCTATATCCTTCAGCTCTTCAGATCAAGGCAAGCGCTCTACTGCTTGAGCCACAACGCCACTTCCAGTTTTCTAGTGCTTTATTGGCTTTAAACCATGATCCTCAGCTCTCAGCCTCTTGGAGTAGCTAGGATTACAGACGGGAGCCACCGGCGCCTGGCTTGGTTGTTTTAACTTTGTGACAGCATCTCCCACCCCTTTCCACTAATTCCCTGCTGGAACACGTGAATTTTTCAGCAAAAGTGACTCATTCATTGGCATCTTGTCAAACTAATCCTGAAACTATAAGGAGGCTTAGTGCTAACAGAACTCTAAAGCTAGAACACTTTCCCTAACACACATCATTTGAATTTTTGAGAACTGAATCTCACTCAGGGCCACACATCCTAACAAGCTCTGTTTACATTTTCCTCACAAATCATTCTCCACCATTCTACTTCCTCTCATTTTTATTTTGGCAATCCCTAGTTTAAAATCCCTCCTGTCTATAGAGAAGACAAGCTTAGATGGCCTAAGAAGGAGGAGGGAGTTAACAGTACTTGCTCATTCAGCTTGGAAAATTAACTAAATCATTTATCTATTCTACAGAGTTCTTAAATGACCATACAATCCAGTAACAATCAGAAATCGCTATTCAGGTCCATAAAAATAAAATCAAACTTAGTTTAGCTAATGAGTTTGCTAATATTTCACTAAATCCAAGTTTTAAAAACAACATAAAATCAGTTATTGAGGACTATTTCATCAAAAATCTTCAATAAGATATTTTACTAGCAGAAATTGTAGCTAAACATCATTTTGTCTTTTTGGTCCACATAACAGAAAATGTTCTTACTTTATTATTTATCTTTAAGTAGTTGTACAAAGGAGCTGCCACTTAACAAAGCAGTTTATGAATACAATGCATCTTGATCAAAGTCATCCCTTTCGCCATTCTCACCCATAGACAAATGAGGAGAAGGAAGAATTAAAGAGAGAGTCAAGAAGTCAAGGCAGATCCTACAAAATGTTTTTTTAGCCAGAGGAAAGTTGGTAGGGAAGAAGCAAGAGATTAAATGCTTTATCAGATTACTGTGGACAGAGCTAGCTCTATCAACTGTCAAACTCTACCTGGTGGCAGGAACCACCTAAACTGATGTAGAGGTCATAATAAACAAACAAAAAGCTTCAATTATACTTTCCGAGTGTCCTTGAAAAAAGTTAGGTATTCTTCTTCTGCCCTATAATAGCATATGTGCAACAAGTTTTCATCGAAGTTTTTTTTTCAAAAAATAGGTTAATATCTACTAAAGATTAACATAAGAGCATGACCATACTTAGAGAGGGAGTCACTCATTTAGAGATCTACTTAACAGCTATTCTCTCCAAATGTCAGCTGGAGCCTTTAAAACAAATAACAAGACACATACAGCAGCTAGGATTTTCTACCACATACTCCCACTAACTTTCTTACCCCTTTTCCCCTAAGGGTAAACTACAGAGTTTAATTAACACTGTTAACGCAGCCTACCACATTGCTTTTAGGTATTTGCCAGTAACATACACTCATGGGATACTCTAGAGACTGATTTCAACCAAAAATAAAAATAGATAAACAGAGCTCAAGCAAAATTAAAACCGAGTCTGGCTGCCCACACTTATTTTCACACATGAGGAAAAATAGCAGTTCTCTTAGAAGCCTCAAGCGGACATATCTTTAGAACACAATGTTAAAAATATGCTCCCCCCACTCTTTCCCTACCTGTTTCTCACTCAAAGCTGTGATTTTGGCTTGGAGTTCATGAAGCTGTTTCTTTAAGTCAGCATTCTGATTAGAAAGAAAAAATATCTGTGAGAAAGATATTCATTTGTTAACAGAATAGTAGCAAGAAGAATATGCATACTGTATTACAAATGAAGCAACCATAAGCATTTAGCCAATCAATTTGGTCATGCATTAAATTGTAATAATAATATCTCTTCCTAGTGCATAAATCCTAGCACAGAATAGAGGCAGCTTCTTTGCAACTATTTTGTGTGTCTGTATGTGTATTGGGGGGGGGTAGGGAGGGGACTTGCGTGTGTGCACACACACACATGCACCCATGCTAGTGCTGGGGCTTGACCTCAGGGCCTGGGCTTAGCTTTTTACACTCAAGGCTGGCACTTGAACCATATCTTCACTTCAGTCTTTTTCCACTGGCTAATTGGAGGTAAGAGTCTCACCAACCAGACTGGCTTTGAACCATGATGCTCAGATATGCCTCCTGAGTAGCCAGGATTACAGACATGAGCCACCAATGTCTGGCTTATTGCAACTATCTTAAACTACAGAAGTTTTATATTTTAGAACCTTGTACTATAATAGTACCTTTTCACAAAAAAATACTGTTACTCAATATAAATTATCAGTTGACAGAAAACCTAAAGCTCCACTTAATCAGACCAAAACAGGAAAATGGAGGATATAAGTAAGCATATGGAGTATGCTCAGCAGCATTATCAACAAAGATAAGAGGTTTTCCTCTGCTTGTCCTCCCCCTTATTTAGTAAAGCACATGTATTATTTTAGCCTAGATTTGAAAAGCTGTCAGTACTAGGGCTGCCTTAACACCACATCATTCAAATTAACAAACTGACTACAGGGTGCTTTCTCAGTTCTATAATTCTAGGAATCAGAAGGAAAATAAGAACTATTTTAGATGAGATACACAACATGCTTGTTTTTACTCTAGAGGGAGAACAATGTAAAGTTTTTAAGTGCTTAAGGTATAGTAAGAACCTACTATCCAAATACCAGTCCATGACAGACTATTTTGCTTTAATTATTTCATAGACAATTTTTCCCATTCATGTATGATTCCTTCAAGTTACCCTGCCTAGTCTTCTAATATATTAGGGCATACATCTCTCTCTCTCTCTCTTTTTTTTTTGGCCAGTCCTGGGACTTGAACTCAGGCTGGGGCACTGACCCCAAGCCTCTTTGTGCTCAAGGTTTAGCACTCCGACATTTGAGCCACATTGCCACTTCCAGCTTTTTCTGAGTAGTTAATTGGAGATAGGAGTCTCATGGACTTTTCTGCCTGGGCTGGCTTCGTACCATCACCCTCAGATCTCGGCCTTCTGAGTAGCTAGGACTAGAAGTGTGAGCCACTGGTGCCTGGCTTCCTCTTCTTTAAGGTTCAGATTTCCTCCATTTTGTGTGTATGTGTATTTGACACAAGGATTCTCTGAGATCACCTATAATGTTGTCTAACAAGTTACTACCTTCAGATTTTTCAAGGTAAGTCTGCAGGCTTACATGATTACCCAATGTATCGAAGACTACTTCAGTTGTTGATAATGGAGGTTACATTAGATAGGAAAGACTCTATCAATGTAGGGTCTCTCACCTCTCAGTTCCCTAAATCCAATTTTTATTAGCATACTTAGTTTTACAAGGAAGGGAGTTCACTGTCCTAACTTCACTTTAAATTGTAAATATGTTAAAAAAGAAAAAAGTTTCTTATGGCAGTTGGACTGTCAAACAAGAGTAAATGTGAGCCATAAGTGCTAGCTCTCAGAATCAATGAATTGTGTTAAAAACCACAATAGTCAACCTAGTAAGCCTGAATTTGTAAAGATGATACTATTTTCTACTTCCAAAAGTCAATCTGCCTCAGTACCATTCTTTAGGAATTTATTTCACTTTACAAAAAGACATGTATGACCCAATGTCTAATGGTTGTAAAAGAGATATTGCCTGAATAATAAATATAAATCTCTGGTAGGCAAAGTAACTTTTTAGAAGAATTTCTCTCCAAAAATAGAGTATAGGGCTGGGAACATGGCTTAATGGTAGAGTTCTTGCCTAGCATGCATGAAGCCCTGGGTTCAATTCCTCAGTACCAAATGAACAACAACAACAACAAAGCCAGAAGTGGCACTGTGGCTCAAGTGGTATAGTGCTAGCCTTGAGCAAAAGAAGTTCAAGCCCCAGGAGTATAAAATAGAATATATATCTATATATCGATATACACATATAGATATATCGATATATAAAATAGAGCCCAAAATTCCTTTAAAAAATTAAAGCAAACATTTTCTGGATTATACTACATAAGGTATTCATTAGGGGTTCACTCAAAAATAAAATTTTCTAATTTTTTAAAAAATTATTCTAAGCCAGTTGAGGGTGCCTCGTGTCTGCAATCTTGGCTACTCAGAAGCCTGAGACCTGGAGGATCTTGGTTAAACACCAGCTCAGGCTGAAAGGTCTGAGAGACTCCATATCCAATGAACCACCAAAAATGCCAGAACAGAGGCGTGGCTAAAGCGGTAGAGCATCATCTGTGAGCTAGACAGCCAAGCAAGAAGCTTTGAGTTCAAGCTCTTGTACTTACCTGAAACATAGTAAAAGTCAGTATTTGTGTTCTATAAACTCCATGTAATTAATAATGGCTTGGGGCCATTTTCAATAAGTTTAAGACTTATGAACTCTGATTTTTGAATAATAGTATAGACAGAAATGAAATTTAAGCTACATTAAGACTATTAACTCTTGAGTCTTTTCAAAGCAAGTAACATGAAAGTAAAATAATAGTAACAAAGATGAAGCGATGCCTATGAGAATAACTGAATTTTTCTAATTCCAATAAGTGTAAAGACTAAAAATAGTCTGTTAGGGATAAAATAATTGTTGAAATTTAAATACCATCTATACTTTAACATTTTGTGGTCATTTTAAAATCTTAATTGAAAAAGGAAGAAAAAAGGAAAAGTCTTTTACCTGTGGATCCTGCTTCATTTGAGCAACCAGTTTCTGGTAATAAAAGAGAAAAAAAGAGCCATCAGTCTTACATACTAACTCCACTTGGCTAATCAAGTTTGACCTTCAAATTTTAGGATTTTAAGTCCCCTGCAAAAAAAAAAAAAAAGAAACAAATACCACAATCAAAATAGACCAAAAAGTTTCTATAATGTAAAGCTAATGAAGCAGTCCTCGAAGTATTATTTAATATTTGAAATAAAGAAGAACCTGACTTTTAACTTTAGAGACAAGATGGGGAACAATGACTTTTGAAAAGAAATTTAAGTTCTATGACCCAAAAGCCAAAAATCCCATTAAAATATTGTCACTATCTAGAGCCCCAAACAAGATGTGGAACAAAGTTACATCCATACACAGCAAGTATTGGATGTTAATTTGTTCATTCTCAAGGCAGCAGGGACACAGGGAAAGATATGTTCAGTGAACCAAGGATAGTATTTGAGAACAAGAACGTAGACAAAAAATGCAAAACTACCCACCTGTTTTTCTCTGGAAAAGAAAGCATATCCCAATTCCCAATGAGAGATACCTTTACTAAGAAACCAGAAACCCAATATCAGGTACCAATGGCTCACACCTGTAATCCTAGCTAATCAGGAGGCTAAGATGTGTGAATCATGGTTCAGTGCTAGCCCAGGCAGAAAAGTCCATGAGAATCTTATCTATATTTAACTACTAAAAAGCCAGAAATGGCACCATGTCTCAAAGTGGTAGAACACTAGCCTTGAACACAAAAAACCCTTAGGGACAGTACCCAGACTCTGAGTTCAAGCCCCAGGACCAACACATACACATACAAAAAGAAACCAGAAGTCCAACAAATAAAAATAAATGTAATTTGACCTAACCTAATGGGTAAAACAATAACCATTGACAAAATAAGTTGAAGGATAAAGAAATACCAAAAACATAGAAGTAGCAAAGAATTTTCACATATGGAAACATCTGTCACGTTTTTTGGATGTCAAGATACTTTTAAATTATTTAGCTATAAAATAAAATATTTCTAAAATATATAATATATTCATCCATTTTATTAAATAAAAAAGTCAAGCTCTTATTGCTTCTTAAGAGACATGGTATCAATTTAAATACTATGCTACAAACAATTCAATAGGATCCTTGCAATAATAAGCCCATAATTGCTATGTTTTACCAAATGCTTGTGTCTTCAGTTTATTTTTCAGTCCATACAACTTAGTACAAGCAGTCAGCTAGCAAAGCTTGTTATTATCCTGCATTCTCTAACAGTCCTGAAAAACTTCAACTCAAATTTGCTGCTTCTAATATACCATGTGATACTGAACTAATGTGAAGATGAGTGAATATGTTGTAATAACCTAAGAAATCTCTCTTGAGTAAAATGTATTATCTGCAGAAAATGACTTCTGACATTTATTCTAATTGGACAAAACCGCTTCTACTTGGAGCTAACACACATTCAACTGACCTCCAAATACATAAAGTGTACATCAATAACTTCTACTTCACACTAGACAATGGCAGATCTTCAATAGTCTGCTCTTAATCTCTATAGGAGTAATCATACTTAATCCAAGAGTTCAATTGAATTGAAATGCAAAGTTTTATATACAATTTTTCTTTCAAATCTAGCCATAGTTCAAATGAGCCTAATTGTACTTTCTGATTTGGTTACCAGAGAATTGTCTACTTGTGAAGGTTAATATTTTGAAGCTAAAAAGGCTGTTTTTTTTTAATGACACTGGATTTTAACAAGTGACTTGGAATCACACTAACTTTCTTCTCTAGTGGAAGTACATAAGCCAACTTTTATACATATAACTAGCATTTTATACATTAGAAGCAGAACAAACGACAAGTTGGACAACTCAAAGACCATACAAATCTCTAGAGACTTTAAGCTGACATGGTTTTACCAAGTTAATTTCTACTATATGATCATAGCAACTTTTTTTTTTTTTTTTGTCAGTCATGGGGCCAGAACTCTGGGCCTGGGCTCTGTCCCTCAGCTCTTCAGCTCAAGGCTAACGCTCTACCACTTGAGCCACAGCACCACTTCCAGCTTTTTCTGCTTATATGGTGCTAAGGAATCGAACCCAGGGCCTCATGCATGCAAGGCAAGCACTCTACCACTGAGCCACCTTCCCAGCCCGATCATAGCAATTTCTCGTAGCATACTTATTGCCAAACTTAGCAAACAACAGCCAATAGGCCAAATCCAATCCACCACCTCTTTGTAATAGAGTCAAGCCCATTTGTTTATATACTCTCAGTGGCTGGTTTGTCTGTAGAAGGCAGAGCAGCGGTCAAGCACCAGTGGCTCACATCTGTAATCCTAGCTACTCAGAAGGCTAAGATCTGAAAATCATGGTTTGAAGCCAGCCAGGACAGTAAAGTCCATGAGATTCTTATCTCCAATTAACTACCAGAAAACCGGAAGTGGCACTGTGGTTCAAAGTGGTAGCATGCTGGCCTTAAAGGATAATACCCAGGCGCTGAGTTCAAGCCCCACAACCAACCAGACAGACAGACAGACAGACAGAGAAGAAAGAAAGGAAGCAAGCAAAGCAGAGTAGTTGTGACAAGAGACTATGATTAACCTGAACAGCCTGAAAGATTTTACCATTTGACCCATTACAGAAAAAAAATCTGTTCACTTCTGCTTTATACTATTTTCCAGTTCATATGAAGTTAATATTAAACAAATATCCAACAAATCCACATAAAAACAATCAAACAGTGGCTCACTCCTATAATCCCACCTACTTTGGAGAAAGATAAGTAGGACCAAGGTTTGAGGCCAACCCAGGCAGAAAAGAATTAAGAAAAACTCCACCTCAAAAAACAAGCTAAGGACTGTGGTACACTCATGTACTCACATCTACATAGGAAGCTCTAAGCAGGAGGATCCCAATTTGAGGCCAAACCTACAGCAAAGCAAAAGACATATCCAAAAAGTAACTAAAACCAAAGAGGGGCAGGGAATATGGCTTTGGTAGTAGAACACCTAGCCCCATACCACCAAAAAAAAAAAAAAGATCAATCAAAGAAAGGGAGGAAAAGTATGACTTTTCCCCAAAATACAACGACTATAATTTAAAAATTTGTTGAATAACAGTGCATGTCCCTACTCCTATAAATAACATATGAACAAAATAAACTTCCAGCCAGTGTGGTAGCTATTCAAGAGACAAAAACAGGGGCTGGGAAGGTGGCTCAGTGGTAGAGTGCTTGCCTCACATGCATGAGGCCCTGGCTTCAATTCCTCAGGACCACATAAGCAGAAAAAGCCCAAAGTGGTGCTGTGGCTCAAGTGGTAGAGCACTAGCCTTGAGCTGAAGAGCTAAGGGACAGTGCCCAGGCCCAGAGTTCAGGCCCCACAACCAACAAACAAACAAACAAAAAAAAAGGGACAAAAACAGGAGACCTGTTTCACAAATAAAAAGGGTAGTAGTGTATGTAGTTCAAGTGGTAAAGTGTTTGCCTAGCATTGGTGAGACACTGGGCTCAGTCCCCAATATGGAAAAAAAAAACAAAAAACAAAAACCTTTCTAGCACAACTACAATGTAGTTTCTATCCCAACTACAATATAGTTTCCTAACACAGTTTTGATCTAACAGACTTGATTTCTGCCAAATTTCATCCTCTACCTGGAAGCGCTTTCAAATCTAGCTAAAAGTACAGTCTGACTTGTGGTTCAGAGCTGTGTCAGTGCCAATACCCTGGAGTCATCTCCAGCATCACCAAACATGTCATGTTCAGTGACTGTGCAGGTTACTCTGCACCCAAACAGAATAACATTAGTTTATAAACAAAGTCTGTAATTGCACTGGTTGCTAATAATTTTTTTCAGAAATAAAAAATGTATGTTATGTGTTAAAATGCTTTAATTGACCTGCAAAAAAATGTTTATTATTGCACAAACTGTAGAGTAAGTAAGGGCAAACTGTAACTCCTATATACGGTATTTTCGTAATAAAAAAAAAAAAGAAAAAAAAGGATAAGTAAGGGCAAATATAAAAGCTATTCGTTTATGCTCAAAACAAATAGTTAATATGAATATTAAGAATGTTTAGGATAACTTTCATAAGAATACTATATCCCCTTTGAATTAACAAATGTAACTTTAAATTTTTAATTAGACTAAAAAGAATAAAGTATGTACAACTTATTGTATGCTAAAGGAAGCATACCAGGCAAACTGTTACTAAGCAAAAGTTTAACAAAGTCCAAAGCAACAGCAGGGATTTCTGAGCATACAAACTAAGTGTAAAAATTGGTTGGCTTTCTATCTTGTACATAAATTTTATTTTTTACATATTCTTATGTTAATATTTATTCAACATTTTATTACAGTAATATAACATATTTTAATATTTTATAAACAGTATTTTTTAAGCTTTTTTATAAGCTCTCATCCACAATGTATAAATGTAGCAGTAATCAAAGCCCAAGGTATCTCCCAACCTTCATAAGGTAGTCTAGATTAGGTTATTGAAATAAAACAACTAGGCCCTAGTAGCTCCTCCCCATAACTCTAGCTACCCAAGAGGCTGAGAATCCAGAGGATCACAGTTCAAAGCAAGCTTAGGTACAAAAATCCATAAGATTCCATTTCCAAAATAACCACTAAAAACATTGGCTTGGTTACATGGCTCAAGTGGTATAGCACTTGCCTAGTAAGCAGTTCAAACAACTCAAGACCCTGAGTTCAAATTCTAATACCAGCTTAAAAAAAAAAAAGACAAACACCTTCAAAAAAAGTAGTTCACAGCTGAAGATGCAGCACAGTAAAAGACTACGTGCCTAGCATGTGCAAAACCCTGAATTTGATCTAAAGCACCACCAAAAACAAAAAGTTTCCTTCTGTTCACCATTCCCATATTCACAACTGTAATACATTCAGAAGTAGTCATCATCATTTATCATTTTTGGGTCTCAAGGACTATGTGTGTGTGTGTGCATTTTCTACAGCCCAATGTCCAGCTAATGTCTAGAAAACAGACATAGTGATACTCTGTTTACACAAGAAAATTAATGCTTTAGTCATTTATGAATAATATGTCTTGGTTATAATGTATGTTTATTTTTATGTCAATATATACAATTAAAATATACTAAATATTTTATCTTTCCATGGAAACATAATTATTGCATAAATGTAACCAGAGTATATTTTACTTATATACACATATTTATAATTTATAATTTAGTATAGGTATGTAGGATAAAATGTAACAACTGTGATTTTTTTTTTTTTTTTGTGATGTCAGTACTCACAGCCTGGGTGATGTCCCTGAGCTTTTTGTTAAAGGCTACTGCTCTATTACTTGAGCTAGAGCTCCACTTGTGTTTTTTTGGTGATTAACTGGAGATAAAAGTCTCTCGAACTTCTTGCTCAGCAGACTTTAAACTTTGATCCTCATATCTCAGCCTCTTGAATAGCATGGGTCACTGCCACCCAGAGCAGCACTGTGATATTTTTAATTTAACATCTATGAAAGCAATCAGATTTGCTTTCTTTTTCCTATTAGCATGCACTCAGTGTGCCAGGAAAGGTTTCACTAATATTTCCGTGTATGTGTAAATGTATTCTGATCAAGCTCCATCCCTCTGTCGTTCTCCTTTATCCTCCCCCTTCTTAAAACAATTTCAACAAGTTTTACTATTCAATTTTCATTCGTGCAAACAGACTACTACAATCAGATTCTCTTTACCAAAGATTGGAATCAAGACATAAAGTTGAGTCATATGATGAGTAAAAACCTCAATATATGTTTCATTATTTAAAAAAAATCAAGTTATACCACATGAAACAACGTCCTTCAAATGAAAAAATAGCTTCTTTTCTTCTATCACTTTTGGGATATGAAACAATATTTTTATTTACACCTCTTCTCTGAAAAGAAAATCAAAAATATTTTATTTATTAAAGTTCTTGAAAGTAGTAACAGTGCATTTGTTGAGTAGTGGTAATAGGAAAATGACAAGACTCTTAGATAAATGTCTAAAGGTGATTTTAAAACTGTACTGGAAACCAGAAATGGGCCTCTATACTAATCTTTGCCAGTAACACAGCATACCTGGTGAACCTGAATTTCCACTTTAAGAGCCTCCTGTAGAGTCTGCAACTCCATCCTCTACTTTCTCCACTTTCTCGTATGTCTGCTAGTTCTATAGTTTCTTCAGCCTCTGTTTAAAATAACAAGCTCCTCTTGTCGCTGCAGCTGTGGAGACCAAAGAGTGTTGGGGATCATTATGTTGAGAATAAAGAAAATTTGTGCTATAAAATAAGTTAGGGAAAAAAATTAAATTTCTGACATAGAACCAACAACTCTAAATCCCTAAAAAGATTTTCCCCCACCACACACACACACACACACACACACACACACACACACAGACACACGCACACACACACGTGCACACACACACACACACACACAAATCAGTACTAAAAATTCCTGGGTTTTACTCTATTATTTTATGATTATTGTTGTTGTTGTTATTAATAAGTAGTTGTATTAGGGGGTTATAATTCCACAAGTCAGGTTATAAGGACAATGTTCATGGTCCATGTCACCCTTCCTTTATTCTCTGTATTTCCCCCACTACGTCCCTACCCTCAGTGCTCTTTGAGCATCCCTGTATAGAACACTTCAAATAACTGAAAAAAGAGAAACAAGAGAAAACAAAAAAAAGTCACAGGCATGGAAACATCTAAATAGCCACTGTGTGCTCAGCACTGTTACATTCTACATGCTGAGGACAGAGTAAACAAGCATTCCTGCCCTACGTGTCCAAAGCCAGGAGACCATCGCCATCCTGAACATGCTGCACTAGGAAAAGACATAACATAGCAACATAACCAAACATTTGTTGTTGTTTAAATCCCGGCGTAAACAAGATTAGGGTCTCTCAAAAGTTAAAAATCACCAGAAGACTTTCATTTTACTCTATTTTAAAAATAAATTCAAAACAAGGGGGAAATCTGGCATGATTTAAATGTTTAAATTTTAGCAAGGGGCTGGTGGCTCGTGCTTGTACATCCTAGTTATTCAAGAGGCTGAGATTTGAAGGTCATGGTTTGAAGGATCCCAGGAGGATTAAGTCTATGACACTTTAACCTCTAACCACCAAAAAGCCAGAAGTGAAGATATATAGCTGAAGTGGTAGAGTCTTGAGCAAAAAAGTCAGGGACATGGCCTAGGCCTTGACTTCAAGAACCAGCACAAAAGAAAAAAAAAAAAAAAAAAAGGTTAAAGTTAAAAAGTTAATATTTAACACAAATACAATGTAAGTGTAATATTTAAAACAAATACTAAGTAAGTGTGCTATCTACAGAGTTTTGACAGGGATATTAAAGAATATAGCTATTGGGTTCATTTGAGGTGGTCTAGCAATATAATATGCAAATATGCTTCCATCTTTACAATGATCATCTTTTCTTCTCAAACCTGCTGATACATCTCTTTGACAACATGCACAACTTCACATGGGATCATGTAAAAAGTCTAACTTTGTGACCAATGTGGCTACACACAAATGTGACACACCCTGTCACCTTCCTAACCTCTGCTCATCACTACTGTACTATAATTTAACTAAATGGCTAATATATGGCTCCACTTCTAGCATTTTTATTTTTTTGTTTGGTTGGGAGACTTAGGGTTATTAATTGGAGATAAAGAGTCTCAAGCTATCTGTACATGCTAACTTCAAACTATGATCCTCAGATCTGAGCTTCCTGAGTAGCTAGGATTACAGAAGTAAGCCACTGGCTCCTGACTTGAAGGAGAAAACCCTATTTAATTATTTTTAATGGTGACACATGACACCCTAGCTCACAAAACTGACATAAACTCTAGAAACAAATAGCAGGTTACAAACATGGAGAACTAGAAGTGGAGCTATGGTTCCAGAGATAAGAGTGTCAGTTTTGAATAGAAACGGCACGCGGGCCCTAAGTTCAAGCCCCAGGACCAAAATAAGTTAATTAATTAAAAAGGCATTGAGAGTTACTTTCTTCTTTTTGGGGTATCAATGTTTCCCATGAAATTTTTCCATAAAAATACATACCTATTAATTTATAAGGCACTAGAAAATTATGATACTGATCAAAGACAATGCTTAAGAAAAGAAAAGGCAAAGCTAGGGTTTACCCTGAGGAGCTGATAGCTTTTACTTCCCCTAGTAAATTGTAGTCTGTTTATCAGAGCTATATAAAGGCAAAGAGTTTTATTTGGCAAGGGACTTTAAATGCCAATTAACCAGTTTATTTCAAAATAAAATTCAAAATAAAATTGAAGGGTTAAAAAGATACAGAAAAACTTAAGATTCATTCATTTGAAATCCATTTCTCAGAAAAGTCTCTTTCTGGATATGAATTTCAAGAGACTAGTATCTAATTAAAGGAAGAAATTATAAATATATATTTATAATTTCAAAGACAAGACAAGCACATGCTATATACTTAAACAAAAAACAAAAAACACCTGCAGTGCCAGATGTCAGTGGCTCATGCCTACAACACTAGCTACTCAGGAAGCTGAGATCTGAGGATCCTAGTTCAAAGCCGGTCTGGGCAAGAAAGCCCTTAAGACTCCTATCTTCAATTAATTACTAAAAAGCCAAAAGCAGAGCTGTGGTTCAAGTGATAGAGCATCAGCCTGAGCAAAAACAGCTAAGGGACAGAGCCAAGGCCTTGAGTTCAAGGCCTAGTATCAGTACCAAAACCAAAACAAACTAATTTAACTTAGCCATTAACTGCACACAATTTGGGGGTAACTTATAGGATCAAAAGAAAGTATTCTTTTCTAAATTTGTAAAAGACCATTTATTATATTTTGACCAATACTAATAAGGTGACTTCAAGGTGAAAATAAACTGACAACACAGTAAGGGACACATTTCATTTAGGTACAATGCCTTCCACCATCTAACAGCTACCAAGACATGACAAAATTCACAGTCTTCAGGACTGTACACGCCAAACTATTGGGATATGCAGTGGCCTCTCACCTTCAAATAACAAAACATAAAACACATAAGCAAGCAAACAAAATCAAGAAATAAATCAAAGCCCACCAAAAAAAGGAATCTGGATGATATATAGGAAAAAAATATTTACTGCTTTACACCTGACACAAAAGCAAAAGAACTAATTCCACTTACTCATTATGGGACTTTTATCCTCAGGGTTTGTCTGCTTATAAATCAGGAAAATAGGAATAATATCACTATGTCACTGAATCTTGAGTCTTAAAGTGAAGTTATATGAAAGGCCCATTGTAATCTGTAAAGTTGTAATGTTATTTTTGACATACTTAATTCTTTTATACTTCAGTTTTTTAATAAAATTTCTCAACATAATATATTTCTATTCACAAATTTTCTAAAAAAAGGGTTTTCTATTTTTCTGAGTAGTTTTACTTGGACATATGTGACTTGTAGTTCTTTTATTATAACTCCAATAATGTATAAGAAAACTATACTTCTGATTTTACTGCTAAAAAATACTTTGCTCTGTTACCAAACTAATATGAACCCTTTCCCAATCAAAATGTCACTGCTCAATCAATAGTTATTTTAGAAGTAAGCCCACAACACTGCATCCACAGATTGCCCCTAAAAATTGACAGCATTCCGTTCTATGTATCATAAATGTATTTGGTGCAAAATTCCTCTGCTTTTGATCAATATTCTCTTAAAGAAGGCTAATTTATGTACTTAGGTTGGGGTGGGGTGGGGTGCTTGCTAGGCTAGCATTCTACTTCTTGAGCCATACCTCCTGCCCTGATTTTTTGCTGATTATTTTGGAGACAAAGTCTGGTGAACTTTTCTGCCTGAGCTGACCTCAAAACCTTGATCTTCCATTTCTCATCCTCCTGAATATATAGGATACAGGTAAAATCCACTAAATCCAGCTAAAGAAAGTTTAATATTTTAAATAGGAAAAAGTAGTCGGAACCAATCCATGTATCCTTATATCTTGTCCCATGGGTAATACCAGATTTCAATTTCTTACTATCTAACATAAAGCAAGATAAAATAATATCTTTGATTATTAATTAAGTGCTAAAAATTACCATGGATGCTAAAAATACTAAAATTCTTTTAACAGTATTAATTGAAACCATTATTAATATCAAAAATGACATTAAAAGTTAATTGTGTTTTCTTATCATTTAACAAGTTTTCAATGTTCTGATTTCCTTGTAGGGTAGAATTTCTTTGGTGACTCTCCCACAAGCCAATGGGAACTGTTCTGTAGAGAACAGTGCTAACTATCCATTCAGTCTTCATGGTTACTGTGCTCAAAGCCTAGGGTGACAGCTACTAACAAAAGTCACCAGAGAGCAGTGGTACTCACTAGACACTATGTTGAGAATGAACTATACAACTTGTGGGTAGAGATGGAAGGGAAAAACTGGGAGATGGCAAGGGAAGGGGTAACACTGTCTAAAAAGAAATGTACTCTTTACCTGACTTATGTAACTGTAACCCCCTTTGTACATCATCTTTATATAAAATAACAATTTTTTTAAAAGTCACCAGAGTTGGTTAGATCTTTCTAAAGTATTCAATTAAATAGTCATGTTGTCTCCTAATTATTAAATGATGTTTCTTGTTTATTCAATTGTCTATCTTTTCCTTGTATGTTTGTTTGGTTTGGGAGAAAGAGGAAAGGTCCTCATTTTTTATCAAAAGAACACATACAGGGGCTGGGAATGTGGCTTAGTGGTAGAGTGTTTGCCTAGCATGCACGAAGCACTGGGTTTGATTCCTCGTACCATATAAACAGAAAATGCCGGCAATGGCGCTGTGGCTCAAGTGGTAGGGTGCTAGCTTTGAACAAAAGAAGCTCAGGGACAGTGCTCAGGCCCTGAGTTTAAGCCCCAGGACTTGGGGGGTGGGGGGACAGAGGGAACACATACAGAACTCCCAGTACTGAGCCAGGGGCTTTGTGGTGTTTTGACATGGACAATTCCTTCTGGGGCTGTGGCAGGGCACTGTCCTTTTCCTTACCTCATGCCTAATCTCAACATGCAGTCAACCTCAGCTTCCTTAGTTTCTGGGGCCAGACACACATGGGCCAGACACACATGGGCCTATGTGCACACATGCACAATCTCTCTCTCACACACACACACACACACACACACACACACACACACACACATTCTTCTATTGTCCATCTCTCTACACAGTATAGCTACTAAAATTATCCCAACCATACCCAACAAGAGGAACACGAATAAAGAAATTCAAAAAGAAGAAAACTGGAGAGTAGTGTATGAAAGTACAGTGACAATGAGGCTAAAACTTCATAACGAGTTGTCACATTTACTGGAAAGTTGGTGACTTAAAAAACATCTAGATAAGCCTTGCCAGAGTCTTATAAACATAATACCACATAAAGGATAACACAGGCGGGTATGGTGTCTCAGCATAACCATTGACTACTTAATAGAAGTAAAGTTATGGGAAATAGATGTCAGATCAATATAAAGAACTAAGGATTAGAGCTATATGAAAAAGGAATGGGTTACCTTATGAGGTAGTGGGCTCCCTGTCATTAGAAGTATTCAAGAATGCTGCATATCATAGCCCCCTCTTGGAGATTCACAATGCATATTAGCATATTAAAGGTTCTGAGAAGTCCTGCAGTAAAGAAACCTGTTTAACTTTGTTTGATGCAGCATTTCCCAAATTATTTGACCATAGAACCCCTTTCCCACCCAGCCCCACCTAAAGATTTACTTAGTTTTTGTGGAACTAGGATTCCTCAGAATATATTGTATAATATATTGGTCTCCATTTTTTGATGTAATATTCAACTGATTAAATAACTGTCAGGGAAATAGTAAAAGTAATCGCCATGAGGGAGAAGATGTAGAAGGAAGGTCCTTAAGGTTCTTTAAGATTTCACCATTCTACTATATTCTAAGTGAAGCATTGCAGAATTTTGGAGTCTTTTTTGTTGTTTTTGGTGATACTGGGGTCTGAACTCTGGACTTCAGGTTTGCTAGCTCAGCTGGCACTCAGTCATTTCAGCCATGCTTTTTCACAGGCTATTTTGGAGACAGTTTCTTTTAAGCTTTTCTTCCAGAGTTGGCTCTGAAACACAATCCTCCAGATCTCAGCCTCCTGAGTAGCTAGGATTACATGCTTGAACTTCATTATTCATGCACCCAGGCTTCATAGTTTATTTTTTTAAAGGTTCCATGGATGAAAAGCAAGTAAAACTAAGTAGCAGTGGAAATATATGGTTTGCTGGTTCAAGTATCCTTTCATAGTGAAAACTCAACCTTTAAAAGGCAAGAGAGACATCTCAAGGATCATAAATTTTTTAAAAAGCTAAATATCTACCATAACTACTCACTAAATAGATTATTATATCAGAGATAGAATATTAAAAAGTCATCTTGCATTGGTTATTTCATAATTCTAGTTATATTATTTGAGTTGGTCTTTGTTTTCCTAATACATAGCTCCTAAAGTTAATATTTGTTTGGTGCTTAGTTACTAGACTGCTGTTCTGTGTAATCTGTGATCCTGAATTAGACATCCAGAAGAAATAATTAAGTATAAGGGGTTAGAAGCTATTAAATCTACTAAAGTAAAAATTAGGGTAAAATATGTGCTCTACATATACTTGGCCCTTGGGGTTGGGAAGGTGGCTCAGTGGTAGAGTGCTTGCCTTGCATGCATGAGGCCCTGGGTTCAATTCTTCAGCACCACATAAACAGAAAAAGCCGGAAGTGGCACTGTGGCTCAAGTGGTAGAGAGAGCTAGCCTTGAGCTGAAGAACCAACGGACAACACCCAGGCCCAGAGTTCAGGCCCTGTGACCCACCAAAACAAAACATATTCCTGGCCCTTTCCCTCTCCATTTTTCCTTTTGAAGAATTATATGGCCAGGCACCAGCGGGTCACACTTGTGATCCTAGTTAGTCAGGAGGCTGAGATCCAAAGCCGGCCAGGACAGGAGGTCCCTGAGACTTATCTCCAATTAACCACCCAAAAGCAGGAAGTGGAAGTGCGACTCAAATGGTAGAGTACCAGCCTTGTGAGAAAAAGCTCAGGCCTTGAATTCAAGCTCCATATAGGCATACAAAACAAATAATAATTAAACAAAACTGGGCACCACAATTGTAACCCTCACTATTTAGGAGTCTGAGACCTGAAGGACCATAGATCAGAGCCAGCCCATGCAAAAGAAGTGAGACTCCATCTCCAATAAACCAGCAAGATGCTGGACTGGAGGTATGGCTCAAATGGTAGAGCACCAAGTATGAACAAGAACGCTGGTAAGTGTGATGCCATGAGTTCAAGCCTCAGTATCAGCACACACATGCACACACACACAAATAAATTATGTACACACATACTAAAACATATTCGACATGAAACTAATCTAATATTAAGAATATAAATGCTAGTGTTCCAAATTACAAAGTCAAAGTCCCCAGAGTTATATTACCTACCTTTTTACACATTAAATATTAAAGTCATCCAATTTAATAGCGTATTAAAAGTAAAAACACAAAATACAATGAGAATCTTAACTTCTGAATTCCTGACTTTTGAATTTAAGCCCTCACATTTTTGTCCAACGAGATCTTTACATTTTTAAAAGGCTACCAAATGCACCCCAACAGAATTATCTGACACACAAATGCATTTGACACATAACTATGTGAAATTCAACAAAAATTCACTTTTAGTTTAAACAGCAAAGCTTCATTTTCAGGAAGAGGCTGTTTAAAATTTTTTTTTTAAATCACGGAATATTTTTTAATTATTTCAACTTCGCATCAGGTAAACTATGTTTACTTAGTAAAAATACTTACCAAGTTTGGGGAAACTGGCTCTCTTTCAGCTCTCCAGCCCCCTATAACAGGAAAAGCAAAAAAAAAAATTAGATCACAGATTTTTAAAATTTTTAAAAGCTGAAGACTTAAATGTATTACTGATTTTATAGTGGGAAAAGTCTCCAGATTTGAAAACCCAAAGAGAAAAAGCAAGTAGTAGTTTTTACAGCAAAGAAGGAACTCAAGAGCAGTTAAATCTCCCCTACTGCTCAGTTTTTCAAGACAATGAAAAGGTCTCACAGGTGATGTCTGCACACTGAGGGAGGAGGGGTAAGGGAACACACCCCAGGTAGAAAAGAACAGTGTTATACCTGAGTCCTCAGAAACTACCACCAGTAGCCAGCTGCCTATTACAAGTCTCACCAGTAACATAAGTTTGTTTTACTTAATGCTTCATCTTAATGTTTGATCATTTTCTCTTGGCTGGTATTATATGAAACTGTATTTTAGTCTTTTTTTGGAAGTACTGAAGTTTGAACTCAGACCTCTCACTTATCTACCCAGTGCTCTGCTACTTGAGCCATGGCCCCAGCCCTGTTTTGCTTTTATTCTTTCACATAAGGTCTCATATTTGTTTTTTATTTGTTTTATTACTACCACCACCACCGTCTCTGCCAGATCTATGTTAGACCACAATACTCTGGAGTTTCCTGAGTAGCTGGGGTTGTAGACATGCATCTTCATGTCTAATTTGTTCTTTAAGATAGGGTCTCATTTAACTCTTTTTGCTTGGGCTGGCTGTGAACCCAATCTTTCTCCTGTCTCCACCTGGGGTTACAGGCACAGACCACTATGCTTGCCCTCATCTGTGTTTTTAAGTTTTCATAAACATTAATTTTTAGAAAAGATTTGCATATTTTAGAGTAAATAATAAAACTTACCTAAACTTTTCTTAAATGATTCAGTATTTCTAGGGTTTGCAATTTAACTCCAAGTTTTTTAAACTGCTGCAAATCTAAACACACACACACACACACACAACTGTGTATAAGTGGATATGGACAGTTTTCCTTTACCAAGATACATAGAAAGGAAACAGGAATCAGGCATCAATGGCTCATACCTGTAATCCTAGCTACTCAGAAGGCTGAGATCTGAGGATCATGGTTCAAAGCCAGCCCAGGCAGAAAAGTCCATGAGACTCTTATCTCCAGTTAACCACCAGAAAACCAGAAATGGCACTGTGGCTCAAGTGGTAGAGCACTAGCCTTGAGCTAAAGAGCTGAGGGGCAGTACCCAGGCCCAGAATTCAGGCCCCACAACTGACAAAAAAAAAAGAAAGAAAGGAAATGGGTCACACAGAAATAACATATAACTAGCACCACAAAGGACCTCCACTGTTTCTTACACTCAACTTTAAACTAACACCATCAGTACTTTGCTCACTTAAAAGGTCTTTTTCCAGGGCTGGGAAGATGGCTCAGTGGTAAAGCGCTTGCCTTGCATGCATGAGGCCCTGGGTTTGATTCCTCAGCACCATATAAGCAGAAAAGCCACAAGTGGCGCTGTGGCTCAAGTGGTAGAGCACTAGTCTTGAGCTGAAGAGCTGAGGAACAGCACCCAGACCCAGAGTTCAGGTCCCATGACTAGCAAAAAAAAAAGATCTTTTTCCAATTAATCTCTGTGTGTGTGTGCCAGTCGTAGGGTTTGAACTCAGGGCCTAGGCACTCAGTGTGAGCTCTTTTGCTCAAGGCTAGTGCTCTACCACTGAAGCCACAGCTCCACTTCCGTTTTATGGTTAATTGGAGAAAGGTACAAGTCTCACAGGCTTGCCCAAGCTGGCTTCAAACAGTGGCCTTCAGATCTCAGCCTCCTGAGTAACTAGGATTACAAGCCTGAGCCACCAGTGTCTGGCTCCAATTAGCCTTAAAATGGGTTTGCTTATGTAAGGCTTAAAATTCACAGCATTATGTAATGAAATAAATAATATGAATGCAAGTAACAGTCCGAATTTTACATTTTCATTCACATTCTTAAATGTATCTCAGCACTTGAGATTATAAACCCTATATACACATGGATTTTTCTATGCCCTACACCTAACTGGTGATTTTTTTCATATTTCTTTTTTTTTAATGTTTTTAAGGGAAAGAGGCTTTTTATTTTTTAATTAATTTATTGTTATTATAAAGGTGATATACAGAGGGATTACAATTACATGAGGCAGGTAATGAGTATATTTCCTTTCATATAATATCTTCCCTTGCCTCACTCTCTCCCAATCCCTCCCTCCTGTCTCACCCATGAGTTGTATAGTTCACTCTCATCAGTGTCCTGTGAGCTCCACTGCTGCAGTTTTTCACCTGTTTTTCCTGGAATTCTATATGTTCCCCCACCTTCTCAAAGACATACACTTGAATACACCATACATAAAAAAAGAAGACAGAATCACCAAAATAATTTTAAAAAGAAAAAAAGATCTCATGTCCATATCTTGAGTTCATTCCAATATATATTATTTTATATAAACATAAATGGTGATTTTTTTAAAAAAATCATTTTAAGATCCAATCCAATCTTAGGAAACAAAAATTGAATGTCACCCCTAACATTTTACTGTTAAATTACTTCAACATGCCATGAGCCCTAAACATCTTTCTTCTGCCTTAAACCTATATACTTGTTGACAGATGTTACTCCAACAATAGAACATATCCTCAGAATATTTGTTCTGTCAGACTATTTCTATTGTTCCTTTGGTGTGTGTGAAACTGAAGTTTGAACTCATGACTTCATGATTTTTGGTAGATACCCTACCACTTGAGCCACACCCACCGGACTTTTTTAGCCAATTACAATTCAAATAGTATCTTGAGATTTTTGCAGTGGGGACAGGCCTTCCCTAAGGCCTCTGGCATAGCTGGCATGCACTACTATAACCAGCTTATAGAGTGAATGAGAGTATCACTAATTTTTTGTATAGACTGATCTTGAACCATAATCCTCCCAATCTCTCCCTTCCAAGTAGCTGGGATCACAGTCATGAGCCATTATGCCCGGATTTTCTTGGAATATTTCAAAAGATTGAGTGCTAAGATTATTACTAAGATTATGTCTTTCATTTAATCACAAACATTAATATCTCATAAGAAACATACAATAAAATTATTTAAAAGGGCCCCATTTGGCCGGTGCAAGTGTCTCACACCTGTAATCCTTGCATAATCAGAAGGCTGCCATCTGAGGATCTCTGCTTAAAGCCAACCTAAGCAACATTAGTACATGATACTCTTTTCTCTAACCAGAAAATGAGCTGGACTGGAAGTATAGCTAAGTGGGAAAGCACCAGCTGTGAATGAACATAGAGCATGAACCCTGCATTCAAGCCCCAGTACCATCACACTCACACTCTCTCTCTCTCTCTCTCTCTCTCTCTCTCTATTTCATGCAGTTTCCATTTGCAAAAGAAATTCAGTATGTTGTGCCGCCTTCCCTCTTTAGCTGTCCTTTTTAAAATTCTCAAGTCCATCTACATGATAATTATAATTACCAAGATTAGAATGATTTCCTAACCAAAAGAAAACTCATACAAACATGCACAGAATGATGCAGTTGTTAGAAAGTGAATTCTTATCATCAGTTACCTACAGTACCCAGTGTCATTCAAAAAAAATGTTTAAAGCAGTACCAGACACACAATAATGTTCAATAAATACTTGTTAAATCAATGAATTTACTGAACACTCAAAGTGTTGCACACTTATGGTTCCTTTCCAGGCTTTCTGCTAGCTTTTCAAAATAATGAGTTTTTAAGCACCTATAACAGCATTATTTATAAAATGACTTTTTAAAACAGTTTTTTATTCAAATTGTTGACTAGGAAGTAAAATACAATGAGGGGTTAAAGGCACAGCTCAGGTAGTAAAGCATCAGACAATGAGCAAAAGCATCATTGTAAAGAGTTCAAATCCTGGTCTGGAACACAAGAAAGGACAGGACAGGGACAGGTAAAGGGAAAGACAAAAGGAAAGGAAAGGGAAGGAAAAGGAAAAGAGAAAAGGGAAAAAGAAAGGAAAAATAAATAAACAAACAACTACTGGGTGCTGGTGGCTCACACCTGTGAAATCCTAGCTGCTAATGGAGGCTGAGATCTGAGAAACACTGTTGGAAGCCAGCCCAGACAGGAAAGCCCATGAGACACTTGAACAAAGCAGCCCTGGGACACTCAAAGGCCCTGAGTTCAAGCCCCAGGACACATTAGTACATGACACTCTTCTCTAACCAGCAAATGAGCTGGACTGGAAGTATAGCTAATGTGTCCCTGGCACAAAAACTGAAAAATTAAACTTAAAAAACATGCAATATAATGAAGAGTTTGACAAACTGTGTTTAACTAAAGTTAAGAACTTCTGTTCAAACTGGGCACTGGTGGCTCACACCTGTAATCCTAGCTACTCAGGAGGCTGAGATCTGAGGATCGCAGTTCAAAGACAGCCCAGGCAGGAAAGTCTGTCAGATTCTTATCTCCAATTAACCACCAGAAAATCGGAAGTGGTGTTGTGCTCAAGTAGTAGAGTGCTAGCCTTGAGCTGAAGAGCTCAGGGACAGCACCAGGCCCAGAGTTCAGGCCTCATGACCGGGGTGGGGTGGGGGGGAGGGAATAAATTCTGTTCATTAAAAAAATTAAAGTGGGGGCTGGGAAGGTGGCTCAGTGGTAGAGTGCTTGCCTTGCATGCATGAGGCCCTGGGTTCGATTCTTCAGCACCACATAAGCAGAAAAAGCCGGGAGTGGAGCTGTGACTCTAGTGGTAGAGTGCTAGCCTTGAGCTGAAGCGTCATGGGACAGTGCCCAGGCCCAGAGTTCAGGCCCCACGAACAAAAAAAAAAAAAAAATTAAAGTGAAAAAACAAGCCAGAGAGTTTGAGTTGATAATTGCAATACATATAATCAAACAAGGCATATATCCAGGATATATAAAATATGTTGAGACTCAAAGTGATGAGGAGAGGATTTTAACTTCTATTTATATAGCATTTGATAAAGTGTAACCAGAGAAAGTCTCAGAAAAGTCAAGTTTAGT